TGGTATCAAGCTTGCTTGCAAAACATTTCGCTTCTGGAACAAAATTTTTCAATTGAAAAAAATGCCATTACTTATGTGCCAGCCCAATACGTTCTATGTGTCCGGGTAGGAATCTGCCGATGCACATCTCAACCTACCACAGGGTCACCACAGATACAACTCATCCTCCCCCTCCACTGGCATAGCACACACGACCCTAACCTCGCAGACTCCGCGACATGCGCTTGATCATGTCACTGCCGCAGTCATCCAAGCGCTGCGCAGAACTTTGACACGCCGCGGCTAAGAGAGTTAGACACGTAGGATGGCTTCATGCAGATGTTCAATGAAAGCATTCAAAAGAAGCTCTTCAAAAGCGCCTTAAAGACACTCCACGCAATCAAGCACCACAATTCGGCGTTTAATTGTGAACCAGCACCGATAGGTGACAGATGTATTAAGAGGGAGAAGCAAAAATATGCATTGAGAGCCACCTCAGCCGAGTCCCTCCCCCCACACACGCCAGTCACACAGCGTCATACTACGAATTCTACGGACTTTCTGGCAACTCGACACCCTGTGCTCTCTGTGCGAGCCCTAGCTCGTAAATCGTTTCTTCGTTTCCTCCAGTACTATATGGCATCTAGGAATCAAGAGGAAAACTTAAAGAGAAAAAATAATGAAAAGGAAAATGAATTTCAAAAACTCTGTCCATGAAATTAGGGCTACGGTCAGCACTGCAGGATGAGCCTCTGCACCAAATCAATTGCATCGTTGCTGATGAGCTGCACACAAACACGTTGCATTGCGAAGGAGAATATCACTGACGGATTGTTTTCAAAAGAACATCAAGGCAAAAGCAGAACAACCCGTAAGTTTGCAAAAGAGTCGACAAGCTAGCATCCTCTTCGATGGCATAGAAATCCGCCCTACGACATCCAGGCAACACAATGCGCACTTATAATTCCGTTGTACGTTGTCTTGCAGAGTGAAAACAAAAGAGGCTGCAATGGCTGTGCGTACGTAGCGTGTTTATCTCGTCGTTTCGAGTGACGAAAAGTTAAAGGCACTTTCCGCGATAAAATAAGGCTATGACCTTTCAAATGTGTCAGACGATCCGGAAGGAGATTGCGGAGGCTGCGCTACCTTTAGAAAGTGAAAATCGGCAAGAATTCCGCTTTAAAGGCAGCGTCCGCGATCAACCAAAGTGAAAAAACCCTCCAATGAAAACGAACGCGGAGTACGCAACCACAGCGGAAATCCCACTCTTGCGGCTCGAAATCGATTGGTTGACGAGGGCGGAGTCAACAAGGCTGAGCTGACGCCTCCTTTCCTGTTAATCCCGCCCCGACTGGTTAACAGTTATCAGTGCTTGCTGGCATTGATAAACGCTAAGTTTCTGGAGTTCCGAGGCCGCGACGTGTATTGGAGAACTCACCAAAGGTCTGCGAAACTCGTCCACATGCCTTAAATTTCGTAGGGTCTTATTTCACGCTCTTCCACACCTTTTTCCTACTTTTTTTGATTAGTGCTTAATTGGCCACCTGTTCTAACAAATTTGACCCCTGAGACCTGCCAAAGTCCATCGCGGGCGCTGTCTTTAAGCTAACCAATTAGGCCCATGGGCGCCCCTTAGGCCCATGCCGACCCCCACCGGCTGCTAGCTACTAGCTAGTAGCCACTATGCTATCTCTCTCATTCCGAATGGTGAGAGTGAGGTGATACGATAAAAGAGCTGATATCTTTATGATAACGACGAGTGGAAATTCGTACAAACATGCGTTTTCTTCATTGCATGCATGTACAAGTTGGGGTCGATATGGAATCCTATTTAGGGCATTTTCGGCTGTTTTTCTGCTGCTTTTCTCCGCTAATCAGATACCTAGCCCTTTTTCGTTCCTATTGTGGGTTCCGTTACCCACAATCTGTGGTAGCGGGTTTTGCCTTTAATACCTTTGCGAATGCGGACCTGAATGCCAAATGCAGGGGGGAGGCATTTCAAGGGTCACTTGGTCGCGGTATGTCTTTAAGGCAGCTCCTTAGCCCTCTGTTCTACTGCATACATTTGCGTTCTTCAAAAACTGCTATATATCGTTCAGAAAAAAATTTTGTCAAGAATTTCGCTGTGTCGTCTCGTATTCTTCCAACAGCCATTTTTCATTTTTCTGACCCTAGGTTTCGAAAGATCAGTGGAATCGAATGATGACGCTCACTGGTAGGTTCGGTTACTGAATCGAACTGCACTGGCCATTTTCCGCTGGACTTTCGCAAAGATCAAAGGTTCAGAATTTGGGAAATATCGCACAGTGTCGTGAGGATGTGTGCAAGGATAGTCACGCAAGGAAAATTACAATTCCTAGGAAAGTTTCCTCCTCCAATTCATCAACAAACCATCTGACCATGAGATCCGACTCAGCATCTTTCCTACACTTCAAGCGATCTAATAGGATGACGCACGCTCGTGGTTCAAATGGCTTCATCAAGGGTAGCATCAGATGCCGCTTACTTGAGTTAAAAAACTAGAATATTTTCGAATTAGCATTAGAGTATCATTTCCATTGGCCAAGTATAAAGCAAACCCTCGAAGTGTGGTGCAAACTTACACGCAATCATCCTCAGATGAGCGTGAAGACAGCATTGCCAGTGTCCACAGACGGCGTTTCCTTCCGTGGCAGCGCGCCTCCTGAACCCATGGATGGTATAAAGAAGGCTCACGCGTGAGTCTCTCCGAGTATTTATTCGCAAGGTACTATGCGTCGCAGAGCGTTACGTTCAGGACGAACATGGTGGCTTGGCTGTTAACAGCCACACGGTAAGGCTACCTGATCGAGCAACTTAGAAAAAGCTTGACGAATGCACAAAGTGACAGAGAGAATATGGTGAGCAGCGCACTTTCACTGGACATTTCGCCTTGAACTTAAGCAGGTCATTCAGATTGCCTAGGGCTATATTGGTCTACACGTTCCTATACTTTAATCAACGGAAGCAAGCTTTTTTCGTATCCGTATTCATTACACTCACCTACCCAGTTTATCTCAGCATACAGGTGAGTTTCCTTGCAGGAGTACCGGATGTATATTCAGAAAATTTTGATTTATCAGTCAAATTCTCCGTAGTGACGGGTTCTCCGTTTTCGGCGCCAGGTTTCTCATAGACTGAGTTGGCCGACGCTAGTGTGGTACTGTGCCACCACCCACTTTCTAGCGAGCCAATTCCCTCGCGTGCACGTGCCACGCGCACTCTGCGAGAGTCAACAAAGCTCATGGGACAGCATAGTTCCTAAGGGTGTCCTTTCAAGTGTCTTCGTTTCGTCATTGGTACTCTTTGATGTAGCTCCGAAAATGCTCCATTAAGTAAGACGCGGGAAGTGAAGCATCCACGTCTGATTGCACGTGAACGCTGATAGATTTGGTTGGGTGTTTTTACATTATCCCCCCACAGATTGTCCTCTATGCATTCCCTGCTGCAAAACCGCCCTAGTCACGTATGCACCCCTTTTTGGCAGCTAAACCCTCAAAATGAATTATATTAGTTTTGTTTATGAAAGGGTATTTATAGTAGCGCTGATAAAGTCATTTGCCTACCTACCTCATCAGACAGACTTTCACACCTCTGCAGCCGTGCTGCGTTTTTCGCGAAAGAATGGCTTCCGTGAAAAGCTTTTGATACTTCTCGACAGACGGTTCGGCGAAGAGTTCGGCGGCTGCGCGAAATTGTTGGTATGTACTGACGGCCGGCTCGGCATTTCGCAGAACGCTAGCGGAGGCGCTCCGTCGTTTTTTCTCTGGGACAAAGGCAACGAAATTTCGCATACGGCATACTTAAACTGGTTTCGCCGAACGCCGAGCTGCGCGGCGTTTGTTTAGAGCGGGAGCGATTCTCCGAATTTTCAAATGGAACGTATTTATTGCTTCTCGCCGACCCCCCCCCCCCCCCCGATTCGCCAGGGTCACCGATTGCAGTAGTTTCTTTGATCACCGCACCTGACAGGCCTCTTCAAGGTCCAACGCCATTGACCAGGAATATTGACCCATTCAATCGGTTGTCAATCTCGCCCTACTAGCACATCGTCTGTAATCTCATTTTCTGGAGGAGGGGAGGGGGCAAGGGCGGAAAAAATTCCACACATACACTAATTTACATACACTTCGCGCGAGTCACATATCGGTAAACCTACGCAAACCATAACAGAAGACATCAGTGCTGGAAGAGACTCAGATGTTCCTCGAAAGCCAGAAGGCAGGCCTCGCTCATCACTTTTATGTAGCGTCAAAATATTGAAGCCTATCCTCCAATCCGGCGCACTGTGGAAAAGCATCTCCAATCGCAGCCGGACTGGAGAAGGCCTATGGAATTCACGTCACCTCCAAACAGCTGCGAAACTTCTTGTATGGAGTCACCCATGGACAGCTACCTGGGGACCAGCACTCTCGATCTGGAAGACCTCCAACATCGAGCAGCTCCGACAACGTCGCTACGGTCTAGGATATCATCTTCACCGCAGTCGCCAAGGCGCGGGTTGATGGTATGGACCGGAGGTACCTGGAATGGAAAGACCAATATTTTCTTCGTGGACCCCGGACTGAAAGTGAATGCTGTCAAATCGAACAGCTCGAGGAGAATACCCTGCCTTCATGTCGTCGTCTGTACCATCTTGGAAACTTCGTACTGAAACAGAATTTGGAATCGAACGGCCTTTTAGAAACCTTCGCCTACTTGGAATCGAAGGGCGTTGAGAACCTGAAGAAGACGGAATATCCAAGTGTGTCACCTGCCTAAACCCCTCGATTACCGGGTTCGGAAGGAGCTCAACAGGGTGGTCTACAGTGGCGGAGAAATCGCCTTGAATGTCGAGGAAGAAAAGTGTCTTTTTTCTTGCAGCCCCTCCCCCCTTGTAGTTAGCACTATTTGTCATGTGAGCTGAGCTAGGTTCGTTGTATTCCGATTGCTTATCTATTTGTCTGCTTGTCCATCCGCTGCTTCCGAATCCTGAAATCACGGATGAATGTTGTTCCCGGGTCATGTTGGCAGTGGGGAAGAGAGTGGAGCGTTCAACCAAAGGCATGTGTGATGGTGGACTTACCATTAGTTTGACTGTTGAAGGAGAGGTTTCAGGTTTCAGTCCTCTTGTGTGACTGGTTTGTCACATGGCACTTTATTAGATTCAAGAAGACATCGTTTGAGACCACTATGTTCTTTTTGATGAAATACTCACTTAATTCTTCAGACCGTCCGTGGTAAAAACTCTGGTGAAGCACTTAATCTCCTACTGTACTGGATTCCCTTTGGCTTCTTCGCCCTCATTGACGCCACCTCTATTAGTGACATTCCTGCTTATTTCCTTCTTAAGGTATGGCAGGTTAAACCGTTTTCTTTGGAGAAATGGGAAACCTCAATATTCCACATTTCAGACCGCATTCCTCCTGTTTCTTTTCCTTCCTCAAACAAAAGGAGCAGTTCTGATCTTTCAAAAAGTCATTGAACCTGCGGCAAGAGCATTCGAAGCAGCAATAGTTAAGATTAACAACAGTATTTGAATACCACTCTTTGTTGACAGAATGTTTGGAATGAAAATGTTGCCGAATCTTTGTGACTTCAATAGAGTCGTAGTGGCTAACAGTTAAAGGCAATTGGCACTGCTAAATATTTGGAAATTTGGGAAAAGCGAAGTGAAAGGTCAAAAACCTGCAAAAAGCCTTTGTTCTACACGACTCAGAAAGCATTTCGGACGAGTTCCCCGTTGGCATCGTGCCAATAACCGCTACGGTAGATACGGCTGCATGTATGTACCCATATATCCAGCACGGCACCCGCTTCATATCATTCCCTTCGCTCTTGTACTTCGCAAATGAAGCGAGCATACGAGCATCGAGCATCGGTCGGGCATTTGTGGGCAGGCGGGCACTGTGGGTATCTGAGCCGGTATGTTGTAGGTTGATAAGGGTACCTTCTTTGGTGAAGGCAGCGCCTGCCCAGGGTGTGAGTAAAAATTAAATGACAGAAGTGAAGACGAGTTGGGAAATGCTAAAAAAGAGAGGCACGGGAAAGGAAACTGTATGGCACTCTACAGAATTTCAAAGAATGGTATGTGATTGGAATCACTCGCTTTGATGATTTGGAGAAGAAAAGAAAGGAACAGGGGAAACAGCGCATGCAATAATGCAAAGGAAATCGGCAACCCCCACTGGGGAGAGTATTATGGTCCCAAAGATAATGGAGTTGCAACTCCTCGATAATAATATGAGCAAGGTGACAGGCTGAAGGGTTGAATCAAAGTATAATATTTTATGAAACTTCTGATGATCAGATTTTGACACAGGTATATTTTTGCCACTGGAGTCAACCAGCCATTATGAAAACGGTGTGAGCTATTGAACTTTTTCAGCACCCCTTATACCTTTTAGAAATCTTGAGATCACTCCAACACGGGCCTCCCTGAGATAATAAACCGTTCTGCTAGTTGCGCCAGGCACCTGGAGTCGTTTCGCTCTTTTATGGCATACTGCTCTATTCAGGAAACCTAGAGACAAGCTGCACTACTGTGATGTTCGGCCCTTGTCATATGCGAGGTGAACGAGTCTGCAGCTGCAGTAGCTGGCCACTTCCCCCGGTCAAAAGTGCAGCGGAAGGGGGCTAGAGAATAGTGATACCCAGGTGCAGTGTCCTGATTCCCGCGCTACCCTCGAGGAGGTGCAACACTTGCATCACTACTTGAAGCCCGTAGCGAACACACATTCAGAGGTAGAGAGCAGCCAGAAGTGCAATGAGGCTAGCGCTTTGTCTATGGCTAGGCGTTTGGCTAGCCGTGCAGCGTCGATGGGGTATGTTTAACACATATAACACACAACAGAAAGGTCCAAAATTGAAGATTGACCTGCAATGTGCTTTCAAACTAGAAAACAATGTAAATCACGTTGTCACTACACAGTTCAGTGATACTCTGCACCACGGCCACTCTCGCCCTCTCACATCTGCTGGAATACGATCCAGACCGCAGCGGATTTCTCGACACACCCTTCACGTTGATTTCATGGAACTACCTCCCACCCCTACCCTTCGTTAAAGTTTTTCCATCTGGCACGACCCTCAGAGCCTCTGCACATCATGGACATGATATCTTGCCAAAACTCAGCCGCATTTGACAAATTTTCTCGAATGATTGGTGATGAGGGAGAACAAGAACTTCTGAAGCCCCTATCAGTTCCTTGTCCCTAAAACTTGTGCAATGAAACCCCCATAACTTTTATCCGGCGTAACGTTTCCGCCTGTCCAAAGAATCCTGTTCTTTTTAGCTGTGGGAGTTGTACTTGTTTTGCGGCTTACGAAGTAATTAGGTGGAACATTCGTTCGATATGACCTGACGTTTCGACTGAATCGTCCTCGGAAGTCTTAAGGCCTCACGGGGTTAAAAAAACAGATTTATCTAATCTTAAGTCTCTAGTCTCGCCTTCCTGCCGAAAGCTCGATACGAAGTCCAAGCAATGCAGAAAATTAGCTCAATCAGGGAACCATCACATGAGAGCGCATGTCAGTTGTAATTCTACTATAACCAACGTGTTCAAAACCAGAAAAATTTTTCCTATTGAAAAAGAATACTCACTCGGTTATGAATCCAGCTCTTAACACGGAACGTATTGGACTAACTGTAAGGGCAGGGTACAGCATCGTTGTGAGAAACACATGGGGGGGGGGGGGTCGTACTTGGCCGCTGGGGAGGGAAGAGGTCGTATTAGGTCGTTGTAGGGAGAAGGTATATGCCTCTGGA